TTTCAATTTTCCATGTGTCGATTGCGAACACGAACATCGTCCTCGGACGAGCGATACCATTTTTCTTACACGTGAGATTGCTACGCGTGGCTCTTAACAAACGACAAGTCATTGTTATCGGACGTCCGGAATGAGAGGACGGTTTTCCGGGACGAGAAAGAAACGGCAGAAGGAAAACCGATGAGTTCGAGGTAACTCTGATCGATTTTGGACTATTTTCGACGAGGTTTATATACGAAGCGCATTAAGGCGGACTAACCGCCGCCGTTTAGTGCTGCAGGTAAACTCAGGCGTTAAGTGATTAATTTTTAAATAAACTTTGTAGATGCTTGTTCGAGAAAATTTCTCGGAAAAGTATTCTCTTAACGGTACATATTAATACTAGATTGCATATTGTATATTGGTGCTCGGAAAAGGTACATAAATTATAAACAGTTATCGAGCATGTGAAAATTTAGTACGAATGGTATATATAAATCACTATATGAACACGTTATTTATACCGTTTGGACAAAAGATTCGAAAAATAAATAAAAATTTTGTGAGTAAAACCAATAAAAGCATTTTTATCGCAAAATGAAATACGCAGTGCAAAATTTTTTATTTTATGATTATGAAAAATTCCACAACATCTATTTATTTGCGTATCGCGTGTTTGAAGCAATCGCAAGATACTAACTATGCATCACCGGATTGGATAAAAGCATGGAAAATGTATAGCGTAAGAAAGATGTTTAAAATTCACGATACCGTAATAGAACGTTGAATACGATGGCTAAATACGTGTTTAATTTGCAATAAATTTTTCTCTGCGTTCGTTTAGCGAGAGGTGGTGCGTCGCAGCGTCGTAATTGAAATCAGAAGAGAAAACGCGGAACGACGTATCTAAGAGCGGAAGTAAAAAGCGCCCATTGTACGTATCCGCTCGTCGAGGACGCTTTCGGATATCCGGCTTTCGTTAACCATCCACGGCTCGGTTTACTCGGATGCACGTCACTCGTGCCGGGTAAATATCGCGGGGGAATCGAATTTACTCGCCCGGTGGCATACGTTCACGGTAAACAGGGACGTTGTGAATCTCCACTATCCTCGCCAGACAACGTTCGCGATGATATTATCTTCTAGATATATGTATGATATCGGAATTATCGAGAGAGTATCTCATTCGCATAAATCTCTTGCGCTTGACATCTCCCTCCCGTCCCTTGTTAAATAATCGCGAAGCTTAATTCATAATTCGTTTGCTTGCCGATACAGTTTCATGCCAGACATATTATTGCTATAATTATGAATGGGCTATCACCAGCACTGCGATTATTTTCAGCACGTCTAAAAGCGTATTTTCAGATATTGCGTCGCGAACCAGGCTAAGACCAAAGTGAAACCGGAACGAAGTCGCGACGGTCTTATGACGCAAGCTATCGCGGGAGAGCGTTATTCAATAATATGAAAAGTGCGCAGCTCGACTAAGTAACATTTAGTTGTAAAAATATTCAAAGCAAAGCTTTGTTTTTCCGCCTTGTCTGCCTCATTCTATCTCCCTTTACCGAGTGGCAGGTCGAAATTGCACGGAGCGCAATTTACACTTGTCGCATTCATGCCGGCAATTATTTAGCGCACCGCTGCGAAATTTCTCCGACGAGAGAAATCGGCTTATGCACCATTTTCGAAGGAGCGTTCGCGAAAGACAGACTTACTCGCGTTACCTTCGTAAAACGTCGCACGCTCTTGTCGCACGAGAGCCCCGCGTCTCCGCATTTCCCGTGTCTCAGAATTCAATAAAAAACCAACCTGATCGCTCTAACGCAGAGTCCGTCCTGGGTCATCCAGAGAGCTCTTCCGGGCGGATCGAAACGCAGCTGCAGCTTCTGCGATGCGGGACGCCGCCGCGCCGCCCTTCTTCCCGTCGAGGTGGCTCGCGGCTCGATAGAAGCGAAACAACTCCCTCAGCACTGCACACCGTCGGCGTAATACGCGGCGGAGAACGGGACGGCCTCGTGCACCGGCGATCACCGATCGTGCGATCCATGCGACACTCTCCGCCGAGGCGTCGCGACGCTCACTGCGGAGACTCCGGCGCGTACCCGCCCTTATAGCATCGTGTTGCGCTCGCACTGCGCCCCCTGTGCCCCCTGACCACCCTTCCACCTTCCTAGTACGCCGCACCGACCCCCGCCGACTCTCACCCTACCACCTAACCCCTCTCCGACGCTTCGCGCAACCCCGACCCCTCCTCGACAGCAGCCCACCTTACGGGATAACGCGAGCGCTCGTTCGAGGGACCGACCGATGCATTCTTCGGGGATACTTCGTCGCCTGGTGCAGCGAGCTCCGGATAGAAGCGAGGGAATGGGAGTGCTCCTCCGTGCTCCTTCGGTTACTCAATCCTTTGTTTGCAATTGCATTAAAGCGGAAAAATACGCTGCGTCGTATCCTGTGCTCGCGATGTGCCACTTTATCGTCCGCGTTGTCCCGTCGCTGCAGAGGCGATACGTCTCAAGGATATGCGTATCAAAGACCGAACGGGACTTTGGTGACTGATCCTTCGCGTGAAGTTTGCCGATAAACCAAGAGAGTAAACCGTTGTAAATTAATGCGACAGAAAGTCAGATAGATAGATACGTTTTTTTTTCTCTTTATTTGTGAATTTACTCGACAAAGCGGAATTAACATTAACGCTAACAGCGCCGGTACTTATGAATTTTACGCTTCGCCGTCACAAATGGCCGAGCCGTTCGTCATAAAGCGCTTCCGACGGTATTGTAACGCGGTACACGTCAGCCACGTGCCTCAGAAATGGCTGAGATATTCGTGCGAGCGCTTTCTTTTTTTCGTCTCATTTTTATATAGGGTCAATTTGAGTGCGCGCGGGCGCGCAACGCTCCCACCGTGGAGGCAATTAAATTAAAAGTCCCGCGTATCAAGAGAAGTAATTTCTGCTTTTACGGCGGCGTTCAAGCAGACTCGCGTATTAGTTTACGGAACAATGCAGCTGGTGGGACAAAAGTGACCTTACTTCAGAATTTTGGCGCTAACGAAGTTATTTACCGCGCGTCGGCCGCAAATTAACTCTAATTTAAGAGATAACCGCTAAAGTCAAACCGACATGCTGATAAGATTTAATTCATTGAGCGACATCAGACATGTTCATTAGCGACAAAATACTTCTACGCGATGAAGAACTTCAACTCTGAAAATGTTTCTCGGAACACTTCGAAATATCTGCGAATTAATTTTGACATGTACATTTATGTCGCTCTCGATCGATTAAACGTTGGTTTCTTGACAGTGATAAATTTAAAATAATCCTCCTAACAAAGAAATATTTATTACTGCGCGATAAATTTTTAATCTCCCGTTATTTAAGAGAAAATTGAGAAGCGGAGAATGTAATGATAATTATTTGTGCAAAAGTTTTTATATATATATATATCGTGAATTTCAAGAACTGTCATTTCTTCTAATAATTCTCCGAATTGCGTGATTACCGGCTAATTAACGAATGCAAGTAGTAAGAACTTAAATAATTCAGACAGAGGCAAATAGCGTTTGTAAAGTTCACTTCTGCGCTTGCTATTACGAATTCTATTACGAATTCTTGATTGAAAATGCCAATAATATCAAATTTTGTGACAGGAAGAAGATGAAATATATAAGTTAATTTGTAAATCTCGTTTTATAACAAATTTTTTTAAAAACCCAATCATATTTTATACTTTTTCGAACTAATATATTTAACGTTTCTGTGATAAATGAACAAAGACTATAATAGCATACGTTGTACGGCCAATGTTACATTCAACTTTCTTTTACGGTGAGACATATACTTGTACGACACGTGCTGTCGCTCTGGAAGATTGCGATCCTGAGCAAGGTCGACACGCATCGCCCTCGCTCCACGTAGGATGCCCCTATAAAACTCTTATCTACTTAATACTCTGGGAAATGAAGATATGTATCATGACGTAACATTAAAAATAACGCACAGTGTCTTTTGTGACGTATTTATCTCTTCAGGTAATACTTATTGCTGTTTAGCCTTACGAAAATATATTTGAAGTTGCACGTATTCGCTACAAAAGAATTTTAACTGCAACTTACCTTAAACGCAGAATTCCGCTACTAATCTACGCTTTTTTGCGGACACCTGTGTCTATCATTCCGACACGGGTGTATTTACGACTGTCAGTCCTTCCCATCATTAATTTATCCATCGTAGGGACACACATGTCGTGTTATCCAGGCTCATCAGGGGGAAGAAAAACCCAAGGGTCAGAGGCTCAAAGAAGTGTTTCTTTCGAGGGCTAAGTTTTTTCGCTTAACTATCTCTGGTAGGCAGCCAATAGGATATCGCCACGCTATTCACCTAAGTACTTTTCTTCTTTTCTTTCTCTAATCAGTTATAAAATATTTCATCTGCAAAAGCATAGAATTCGTGATAAATTTTATATTAAAATACCAAGTTAGAACATTAAAAAATTATAATCCGTTAGCATTTTACGCTTGCTAAATTTGCAATTTTAAACCTTACATCTTGTTTAACGTCAAATTTTTAAGCAAAAAATGCGAAAAATTTAACCGCTATTTAAAGAGATTATGTTGTATATGAATAATTAGCATATCACATCGATATATAAATTACCTTCGTTTTTAAGGCGGAAAATGTAAGGTTCAAAAAAAATTCAAGTAATAATTAAACAAATAATTTGTAACGTCCTGACTTGGTATCTTAATATAATATTTATCAGAAACTCCACAGTTTTCACAGATTCAACAGGGTATTGTTCTTCGCAACAGTGATGCGTATATAAAAAAAAGTGACCCTCAACATATGATTTCCGCCTCATTGGCGAGGAAAAAGAATGTGCGGGATCGAGTCCTTAAAAAGATGCCCTTCCATAACGATCCACGAGGCCAGCCCTCCAATTTCCAGTTGAAAAGATAATAGTCGAATAGCCTTCGTAGTCATCCCTAAGATGCGGGATAAAACTCGACCAAGACTCGTACAAAATATCTCGTTTATTCAACAAAAGTTTTGCTTCTGTCGGCGCGGAAATATAACTGTAACAGTATCGTACAAAAATGTTCAAGTTCCTGTTCAGCTTCGACATCAGCGCTGACTGACAATATATATTTACAGCTTCATCGAAACATTATGCACTATTTATGAAATGTACGTAATAGTAAACCTGAAAAAACAGTACCAGTCCAAAATATTCTTAGTTTCAACACTTCCTCGCGAAGAGAGCACCACTCATCCAATGTGAAGTTACATTCAAGGCACTTTTATATTATCAAAACTTGTCGGCGGACGTGTAAATCCTCGCAATTAAACGACGAAGCGACGATGCGAAGAATTTCTTCGCGCTCGAAGCGGGAAGCAGCATGGATTCACGATCAATGAAACGACGCTATCGAAAGGAAGCGGTAGATCGATTGCGGGGTCTCTCTTCGAGGAGCTCCTCCTTCAATTGTGCGTTTTCATCCTTTTACCTCCCTTACACCACGGAATAGTCCTCGATCAGAGTCTCGCCAAAATGAGTTACAACGTAATCGTGGTAATACATCATTATACAAAGTGGTTGCCCGATGATGAGACTCGCCCATACGACGATGTTGCCCCATCTGGCGCCGCAGTATCGCTCCGCCATCTTGCTCAACACCGACAGTGGTATCTAGAATGAACAATTAGCGCTGCACGACTGGAATTTCCGTACTTACGAGCGGGCACGACGGATCTTGTACCGTGCATACAAGATACATTGTACTGCGCAACGTAATTTCATGTAAAGTTGTGTAGCAAATGATGTTACAATGTCTGAAATCCTGGAATCTCTGTAAGGCTTATTACGACGGCTGAAGATATGCAAATTGAAGTCTATTAAATACGGTCTAACGTAACACTTTACCGATTTTTCTGTGACTGAAAATATTGTTGTAATTGTTTCATTTGTCAGGATCGACGATGATTCTGAATGTTATTGAAGTTATATAAAGCGACGTTGTCTTTGGAGGATCGACAAGAATTTCTTAACGCTACAGTCAATATTTGCGAGGTCAACAGGCGAGGTAAACGTGTGGAGCACTTACCTGTCCCATCATGCCCATAAACGCCCATATCTTGAACGTTTTTAACGGCACGCTAACGAGATACTCGTGGAAGAAGGCGCTGATGAAGAAGACGGTCACGGATGCGGTGGTTTTGCCATATCCCATCTCCACAATTGGAATATATAGGTGTCTGTAACATAAACATATCGTTCTTGTGAGAACCGTTCCAGTAGAATATAATAAAATGAACAATAACCTTGTTAAGTCTATTTAATTATTTCTATTAAAATATTGAAGTTTCGCAAAACTCAATATTTACTGATAAAATAAAACATTTGCTTGAAAAGTATATCCTTTCATATCAGACTATTAAATTCCTTATTTCTTTTAACCGCAGCTTTTACAAAAGAACCGCCAAATAGTATTCTGATTACACTGCACATTCAAACCAATGGAAAACGCGATAAATCGATCGATTAAAATCTTGATTTTAAGTCCGATAACGTTGAGCACCTCCCGCGTATATTTCAAGCACGTTCGCCTATTATGCCGACAATATCGGCGGCACAAAAGAACACACGCATTTCTACATCCGCGCCTTTAAGCAGCAATTGCGCCGCGAAATACACGTGGAAGTCGTTAGACCGATAGCGACAAAGGCGTGTAGTCACCCCGAAAAATTAAGCTGATATTCAGGAAAAGTTTTCGCCGGCTTGGCAACGCTCCGCCGTTACCATTTTCACTTGTATGGCGAGACAAGCAAAAACGGGCAACGCGGGAAAGGATCGTTAGCTGCTCGGTTATCAGCGGAGGCGCATCGGAAAGAAGGCAAAACGCAAGAGCACGCTACGGGAGAAGGGAAAAAGGTGCCGGCGGGGGGGGGGGAAGGAAAATTCAAAGGTGGAACGTCAGCGACGACAGTTCTGAGGACTTCAGGCCGTGCACGTTTCGCTGCGTCTTCAGCGCTTCCCTCCGCCAGATTGCACCTTCCCCCTCCCACCCCCACCCCGCCGACCGAAAAGCGGGCGTCTTCTTCGCGCGAGGCGCGCTCGGGAATATCTCCAGTTATAGAGGTATTATAAGAGCCGCGGGGAATAAACAGCCTTAAGTGCGCATCGCGATGCGTATCGGCTTTTCCCATTACAAACCTGAAAAGGCGCCGTTGTCGGCCTCGGCGTTGCCGTCAACGACGACGCACCTCCATACGTCTACATCGTCCTTCGTCGTCTTGGGAGCATTTCCATTTTCACTTCCGACCGTCCCCCCCCCTCCCGCGCCCTGCGTTTCCGCGCGTACCATGGCTGCGTGCCAGTCGCAGCTTGCAATTGCAGCTGCGTATCTCGGTCGGGATGAAGGAAAGAACAGAAAGGAGAGAGGGGGAAAAAAAAAAGAAAAGGGAACGAGCGACCGTAAGCGCGCAGGTGCGTCGTTGAGGTAAAAAGGAGCGCGAGCGACGGTGTCGAGACTTTGAAATTCGTGTCGCGGAAACTCGCGCGACGTCTCTTTAGCGAGCCTTATTTTCCTCCGTTTTTATATCATTTATAAAGGGAACATGGCTGGTCATTTTCACGGTACGTGTCGCGTTTTATAAGGATGCGTTATAAGACAGGTTCCACTTTGGTTGTACGCGGTGTCGGCTACCGCTCTACGTTACGTCTGTCGTGACTAACTCGGGTAACGCGATTCCTTCTAGCGCCATAAATTAAATATGTTTTGTAGCGATATTATTCATATTAAGCACACACACACACACACGCACACACACACACACACACACCGCAATATTTCGAGCGGAATATAAAATATTTATACGCAGGGACAAAGTGTTTCGTTGCGAAATATCTGATGCCCAGCACGGAGCGTGGTAGATTGGCTCTTTATGCGACATTCATGTGAACCCTTCAGGTGAACCCCCGCGCAGTTTGCACATGGCAATTCCAACGGCCCCCTTTTCTCTCGGTCACATAATAAGAACTTCGTGCGGCCACTTTTACAGGGATTTAAACTTTCTTTTGGGCTACTTTCGAAGTACAAAGAACCGGCGCGGGCTTTTGAAAGGAGGTCGTCACTATGGGCTCGAGTTGTTAGGTGCACGTGCGATGGGTAACCGTGGAAGATGGAAGGCCCGCCGGAAAAGTCTTTCGGAAGTTCGCTGATTGTATTGAGCGGGGGGATGTATAATCTAATGTGCCGACGACAGCCGAGATGTATGGGTTGAAGAAGACGTTTTCGGCGGAATAAAAGGTTTTCATAGGAGAGCTCGTTCTTGCAAGACGAAATGTTGTCTCTCGAGTAATGTATTACGTAGTAATATGTGCCGCGACACAACTCGTGTTCGAAAGCTTGCGCACATAAGGTCGAACTGCCGGTCGTAATTCTCATAGCGTATAAAATTTCAACGAACGATATAATATATCAATAATGTACAAACATCTCCCATCGATACGTCGAAAGGACGAGCGTAGCCTGCAAAAATAACCTCAGCGAGACGCGTATTGCATTATTATATAATCATGTTACCCCTACAGTCGAGTCAAAGGTGCAAAGTGCGCGGAGTAAAAGCGCCGGAAGAGTTTTTCCTTCTATGACGTGGAAGGTACGCGAGAGACGGAGTATTACGGAGCGAAGGGATAGCGAGGGTAAATAGCGCAAGAAAGCAGCGCGCAAGAGGGAGAGAGGGAGGGGGGGGGAGAGGCGGGGGAGATGCAAGAGAGTGGAAGAGATGAGGCTCGCTACGTCTCGCTACGAGCCGGACCTTCGCTCGACTTTCTCTGTTCCACTTAACCGAGGTTAAACTTCGTTAACGAGTATGCTCCGCTTTAAGGAGATTTAATTACATTTTTCGCAAATGCTTGGCCGTCGCTGCCTGATCCGACGAAAAGAAAAATGGGTTTCCGTAAATCGGATACATTTAGCCATATGCACTTTTTGCAAGTCTGATCACTTTATGATTAATTGCATTAAGCTTTGTTCGATATGTAAGTTTAGCGCTCTACATGCAATTCTCGTTTAACGACACGCTTTCCCGATGAACCTTTTAACGGCTCGAAAACCGGTTACCGTTACTCTCACTCAACTATGAATTGTTTAAAGAATACCATAGCCATTTTGTCCTGAAAATAGTGATAATCGGAATTTATTAAACGGACGACGGCAAAATAATAATGTTTCAAATATAGAACGTGAATATTCGTAAATCAGTTATCGACGTTTCGAGTATTGTTATTGTTAGATTGACAATTCACTAACAATAAGCTGCAATTGAAAATTGAAAATTTATCGCATTCAGCTGAATATTCGATAAGCTAGACGTATATAATAATTTTAATACAATTAGAAAATTATTTTGATTTCAGATTAGAGAGAAGTGAAAATTAAGCAAAAGAGCTCTCAATATCAAGTGCTGTTACGTTATTGAAATCAATGTACTTACCGCACAGCCCAACGATGTACCGGCATGTTCCAAGTTCTCCAAAATGTATCGATGTTGTTGGCGTTCCACCAGTCGCAGTAGAAATTCCTGTCCGCGAAATGCAGCAGCTCCCCCATTAAATTGAGGAAGGAGTGAAATATCAAGTAGAAGAAACAAAGCCACACCAGATGATTCGGTATCTGAAACAACGAAGATTCGAACATGGGTAAGTAATTTATATTGCAGAATTTACAGAATCGATGAAGTAAAGCAATAATCATGTCATTTCTAATCAAATTTGGAAAAAATAATTCGATGCGAAAAATAAATTTATGTGTCAAATAAATTTATGTAAAAATTTATTAGCTTAATGGATATATGAAGATTATTTCGCCAATATCTTATATGGCTTATGTAAACTCTCGATTATTTCGAAATAAAATCTCGACTTTAGAAAATATTAATGTTTCATCGATCAATATATTAAAATTATTCTATTGCAATATCTGATTTGAACATTTCGAGAGTACAGTGTAAGCTTCGGCGCAAGTGACAGGAATATAAATAATTCTGGCGAATGTAGTCAATTTCTACTATATTCACAGTGGACAATTGAATATAAATATTGTAATTGTAGATTTATTTTAAATAACTGACTATGCAATCAATATTTCGAAACTAGCTTTTTGAAATAAACGAAATGAGATAATCTTCAGTCTGAAAAATTTAAATTCTCAAAATTAGAAATTGTTATAATTATTAGAGAAAAAGAGACAATACAAATTTTATATTTCCTTATTCATCGCTGTGTCAAAAAATTTGCATAGCGATTTTCTATAAAACTCGCGAACAAGAAACTGAAAAAACGCGACACGTGGAAAAGCGATAAAGTAGAAAAACGGCTGAAACAGCGAACAGTGCAGAAAAGAGTCGCAATTACGGAAAAATAGAGAAAAATCGTCAAAGTTCTCTCTCATATGTCATGTTCTTGATGAACCGAATAAAATGCGAAGCCAGAAAAAGTTAATTGAAACGAAGGTAATCAGCGCGCGGAGCGTATTGCAATATTATTTACGTGCCTGTAGATGAAAGTGAAGCGACACTATAACGAACTTATAAATTATCCCGTCTGTTCCTTTAATTACGCTTTAATAGAAATAAGTAATTTAAGCCTTTGTGATCATTTATCGCGTGCATAATACGATATTGCTGTAAAAGTTCTTATCTATTTGATCGCAACTGTGTTTCCTTGATTGTCTTCTTTTTTTTTCATGTTACTGAAAAATTGAGAGAAAATTAATATATTAGCGATAGATCGCTATAGATATACTATTATTATCATTTTATTCTTGCGTAACTTTTATCTCACTTTTAAGATTGATTGTTTCCTTCTGTAACGTTGACATTCCTCGCGGCGAAACGACAACCGAAACAAATATTTCCGCATCAAAGGAATAGTGACGAGCAAAAAATGGGCTCGATCTAACATCAGACGAATACTTTCGTGAAAATTTCTCGACGGACCGCTCGCTTTCATGGCGAAGAATTTCGAAGTTATTTCGTTTCAGATGCCATTTCGAGGCCGCCGAGTCGCGGTATCATCCGCGTGCTTCCACCGAGCTCTCTCACTCGAAGCAAAGGACTTAATAATGTTGCCAGGCACAAAGGTCAAGTCTCTTGCGCCGCAAGGCATCCGCGGCACTTTCGCGAAAAAAGGACCGAGAGCCCTTCAGCACTTCTTCCCGGTTCCTAGCAGCCTCTTCCGGCGTCCGCGTAGTCCGAGAAAACTTACCTTGGCGTTTTAATTTCGTTTACTTGGGGATGCTACCGAGAGAGAAAAGGAAGACAGTGAGAGGGGAAAGGGGGGGGAGGCTTGGGATCTCTGCGAAGAGAGAAGATGGTGGCGGGGTGGAAGTTGAGCAGAAGCCAGTGAATCGTTTGAGACACGTCGACGATACCACAAAGGGAAAAGCGGTAAACTTTAAGCTGCCTCCTTGGCCAGAGGCTATCTAAAAAGGAAGCACCTTCTCTCCGAGGATTATATGGAAGATGTAAAAATCTTGCCGACCAAACGCGATCAAAGGATACGTATGTGTATGATGTTTCGCCAATAGTAAGAAACTTTGAAAGCGGAAAAATGTTGATTTTGAAATATTCTTTACATTCTGCACTCGAGTATCTTTAAGTTCTGCGAACATTATCACTTGATATTCCCTCAATTTTTATTTGTAGTTTGTCGAATCTTTACGTATGTCCAATCTTTGTATTCTTAGATCATTTGGAATTTTAATCATGTCACAATGATATATTTCTTTTCTTTTTCGGAGAAATTTCGATCCGGATATTCACTCTTTTTCGTCGGCAAATTATAAATTAATATGAAAATTACAAAAAAAAAAGAACTCGTACAGAAACTAGCGCATCGTGCGCGAGTTGCGCGAAGCAGCAGAGCGAGTTCACGCTATTGATGCACGACTAATACATCGATCCTTCCGCAAGAAACTAGCAATATCGTTCGATTCGTGCTTGATCCCATCGCCAGCCGCATAACATTAATGCGTGCTTGGCTTATATGCACCATCCGGCAGTCGATTTTCATCGATAATGCAGGGATATCGGATTACGACAGCGACGAGCGATCCACGGGATTTTCTACATGCGCGTATCGGTACGTAGTACTCGATATGGATCGACGTATCCGCGTCATTAGTAGTCGCTGCGAAAAAAAGAGTATGAGGGTAAGTCGACCTGCCTAACCGCGTGCATCGCATTACGTCGGTAATCGATATTTTCCATTTTCTTCTCGATCGCTGACGTTACCCCGCCCCCGTCCTCCTCTCCCTCTCCCTTCCCGACTGCCATTCTCTCTTCGTGTCCCGAGGGTGCACGACGTGTACCCGTCTATCGGAGACGTTTACGCTTACTAGGTCTGGAAGGACATTAACATGTGAAAGGTATAACCCAGTAATAACGCTCGGGATAGAGAATGTAAATACGGGCGGATTGAATTTTTTAACTTTATCGAGAGTCGGCTATTGGCTCGCGAGTGGCGGGGTGGAGCTGTATTTCACGAATAAATATGCAAATGCGGAATAATCGAGGTTGTCGCTCAAGATTGTTGAGAAAGAGTTATGCCGAAGATGGACGTTGATCGATGGCGAATATTCGGCTACTCTTATCACTATTCAAAAATAATTTGGGGGATAACGGCGGTGGAGTGAGAGAAAAGTATGTGACATTTCAAACTATAATTGCGTGGGATTATAATTATAGTGAGAAAATTGGTTTTTATAGGAATTGTACTTGTAATATTAGCAATAATAATCCGATACGTATGCCAATCGTATAGTCTAGTTAGAATATCTATAGAAATATGGTTGGCGCCAAAAACACTGGATTATTATATTACAATTATTCTTTTCTTCCAGTGTATATTCGTACGTTCCATGACCCATCGCCGCGACGATCGATACTAGGAATAGCATCTGTTGCCCTATGTTTATCGAATCTTCCGCATCACCGAGAGTTGCACATCGGAAATTAGATCGCGTCCATCACTATATGCAGTTCTCGCGATCGGCGGATAAAAGCGGCGAGGTGACCGAGCGACGACGGTGTCGTTATGGTCGTTTTATACTTCGGGTGATTTTCAAAGTCAAAGGGATTTCGAAACGAGGTCCTGACGCGCGCGGAGAGGGCGGGTGTGTGTAAAAGGCGCGGAGATCGAGCCATGAAAGGGAAAGAGGGGGAAGAGAGAAAGAGAGAGAGAGAGAGAGAGAGAGAGAGAGAGAGAGAGAGAGAGAGAGAGAGAGAAGAGG